CATTATTTCACAAAAATCAAAGCACTCTTATTCCTATTTTAAGAATAGCTGTTTTTTTTTTCAAAACAAGTTTATAAAAATAATATAATTTTGTGGTGTTTTTTCTTCTAATTTTTTAAAGATTTAGTTAACGAACACATTTTATTTTTTAATTCATTCTTCAATATATCGATATATAATTATTACTATAATATTTTATATTTTATTATAATATATAAATTTATTTTTAATTTTTGTTAAAAACATATCAATAAAAATCACAAATGAATTTTTTTATTAAAAAAATAAATTAATGTCATAAAATATACTCTTGAAAACTAAAATTTTTAATACTAATTTTTACCCCCACGTAACTAAATTTTCTGAGTTTATCCCTGATCTTGATGATTCTTTTTGTGATAAAAGGATGACAATGAGCCTTTAATTATACAAAGTTCGTGGATTTTTCTTGGCATTCTACCTTCTCAGGTGCATGTGGGGCTATGACCCTCAGACCCTATCACCGACTCGCTTTTTCATGTTTCTTCCGTTTCAATTATGGTTTAAAGCCAACTTTCGTCCCTCTACTTTAATATTTTATTCGTTCTTGTCCCTCTACTAAGGTCATGTTCGTTGTCGTCCCTCTACTCTCCAAAGAGCCAAAACGTCGTCCCTCTACTTGGCTTTTTTTGTTTGTTGTCGTCCCTCCCCTAACACTGTCCATGTTGCCGTCACTGCTGACCGTTAAGTCCCAAACGGTCAGCAGTTAAACCCATCTCTTTTCTTTTTTTTTTTCCACATAGGCTGCAGAACTGATGTTGTGCTGATTGCTACTCAGAATCTTACTGGTTGGGACAGGTTTAGGTCGGTCGGAGAAAACGGCACCGTTCTGGACCAAGGCCTGGTGGGCGAGGGAGCGGTCGGCGACGAAGATGGCAGGGCGAGAACCGATATTGAGGGTGACCATTGGGCCGAGCTTTGGATGGAGTTTGCGGAGAATCAGTTCCATCTCCGAGGTGGACGTGAGTTTGCGGAGCCATAGGAAGGGGCCGACGATGGGGATGGTGGAGGGGCCGGGAGGGAGAGAGTGGACGGGGGATTTTGTCGGAAAGAGGAGGTTGAGGAGCGCTCTAAGGAGAAGCGCAATGGAGACTGTGATGAGGATGATGAACCAGACTTCCATCTTTCTGGCAGAATGTGATTGGAGTGAAATGGAGCATGATGGCGTATTTGAAGGAAAGTGTCGGTAAAAAAGTAAAATCTAGAAGGAAAATAATTGAGGTATAATTTTTTAAATACTTCTTAATATAATTTTATGCATCAATTTCATATTTAATTTTTTATTAATTTAAAATTTATAATATTAAGTGCATAGTTACGTGAGATGATGGCGTATTTGAAGGAAAGTGTCGGTAAAAAAGTAAAATCCAGAAGGAAAATAATTGAGGTATAATTTTTTAAATACTTTTTAATATAATTTTATGCATCAATTTCATATTTAATTTTTTATTAATTTAAAATTTATAATATTAAGTGCATAGTTACGTGAGATGAAGAAATTATATGAAAA